CGAGACCAAGACCTTGTCCCCCCCCCCCCCCCCCATCCCACCCCGAGTAACACCCCTCTCAACACTGCACTCGTCTACAATAACTACTGTATACTGCTGTAGGCATACTACTGCATACACTTATTCCGTATGCTGTACGGTATTACCCGCATATACTGTATATACAGGGTGTACAAAAAAAAAGGGAATCAATTTTTGACTTGAAATAGCTCTAGGCAGTAAATTGAGCTGGGGTGGCGAAAAAAAAACACGAAATGAAAGCGTTCTCAATTTTCTCTCTCAAATGGTGTGCAGTTTTATGGTCCCATCAGCAAGTGCCTCAGCAGAATGGTCACAAAAGCCATTCGAATGGAAACTTCCACAACAAAAAAAACAAAAAACCAAAAAAAAATTGCCAGGTGACCATCCCACGGCTTCATAGCATTTGCATGAGAATTTAGCAAGCTTTATTTCCGTGTTTTTTTTCCACTGTCGCATCTCAATTTCTTACATAACTATACAATATTCCCGGTCAAAAATCGGTTGACATTTTTTTTGTTTGTTTGTTGGCCCATCCTGTATATACTGGATAGTATATGACGAGGAGCAAGCTGTTGCTTCTGCTGCTGCTGCTGCTGCTGCTGGGAACACCAATAACACGTGTGCCCCCCTCCTCCTCGACGACGACAATGAGTGTAGAGTACGGTAGGTATATACTGTACTATATACTGGGTCCGGCAGCAGCAGCCAGCATGCATCAGCACCTATATATACATGGTGCATGTAGCCGTACTTCACGTCTTCTTGTCGTCACGTTGCCATTGCCCATCATGCTTTTATTCCCGCTCTTTCTCGATGATTCTTTTTCCCGCCTGCTGTCCCTCGCCGGAAAGTGTATACATGTACTGTATTGCACTGTACAGCTGCACGAGGGTTCTAACAAAAGTTCTCGGAGTAGCAATGAAAATGGCATACAATTGAGCTGAAAAAAATTTATTCTCTAGCCAAAACATATTCTATTTTGCAAAAATTTAAAAAAAAATTGTCAAACCGGGCTGATTTTTTTTTGTGTGCTGAAGAATATGTTTTGGCTAGAGAATAAATTGTTTCAGCTCAATTGTATGCCATTTTCATTGCTACTCCGAGAACTTTTGTTAGAACCCTCGTACTGTATATGGTTATTTAGGAAGAAAAGCGTTTATTGTCTCGAGTGTTTCCCCCTTTCCCCCCGGCGTTGTCCTTTCCCACTTATTGCTGGCTGCGTTGCTGCTGCCACTGCTGATACACGACACCACGACTCCCTTTCCTCCTTTGATTTCTTTCTTGCTATTCATTTATTGAGGTCGTGTTCAAGGCGATGCCGGAAATCGAAAGGCCATTTCCACATCGGTTATATACGTGCTGCCCCTTGGTTCCTGATGCGGGTGAAATGAGGCTTGAAATTGATTCTTTCTTTCCCCGTCTCTTCCCATCTGTCCGTCTGTCTGTCGATCCATCCATCCATCCATCCATATACCGTATGTATCTATCTATACATGTACGTATGACTGTTGTTGCATCTCCCGCGTCGTCCGCCCTGTCTCTCCATGTGGAAAATAACACAACGGACGAGACTTGATGTTTTTTTTCATTCTTTAAACAATTCTATGCAGTGTGTATATACAGCTGCTGCTGATTTCTTTTCTGCCGCGGCCGCATTCTCTTCACTGAAATCAATTCTATTTTCTGAAATCAAAGTACAGTACAATCTTTTATTCTCCGTGCTCCTGTGACTCGTCGTCGTCTGCATGCAACTCATATTGTACTTGATTCTCTTCATTTCTCATTCACGCAAGCTATTGGTAAAATGGGGGAAAAAACCTGCTGAATAAATACTTGGCCATTTATTTTCAATTTACCCATCACAATATTTTCAAATGTGAACATTCTCTTCCACAGACGAGTGGTTGGAATCTATGCGGAACAATACAAAACAGGGATAAGTATACAAGTAATGTGGGCAATACTACAGTATATCTAGGCGCATTGTTAAAATGGGACGAGTTATTCCGGCTGAATAAAAATCCGATCGTCATAAATAATTTGAAAAGAGTATAAAAGCCATCAACAAGGAAATTTTTTTGTGTTGCCATTTAAAAGGCTTTCTTTTTTTTTTAAAAGCTTTATTCGCTCCCTGAAAATCAGCTGGATCGTCTAGTAGTACAGTAGATGTGTACTGTACTATATATACTGTACAATAACATACAGTGTATATATATGCTGACATGGTGCACGGGGATTATGCGAAGCAGGTCGGATGACCTTGAAACATGGACAGCAGGCCTGAAGATGATGAATAATGAACAGTAAATGAATTCCACTCTCTTTATTCCCCCGCAAATTCCTTCATTTCAGCACAATCTCCCCCCCCCCCCCATCATGCATGAACACGCACGCACAGTCAACGTCAACATCAACATCANTCTCCTCTCCCCACCCCCTCACCCACCGCCTCCCCCCCCCCCCCCCCGTCATCATCATGCACCGCTTCTTCCTAAACCTTTAAGCGATGAGTACTGTACAGTACTGGGCAGTGCAGTACACTCTGTGTAGAGCAGCGTCAGCAGTACCCCGTCCAATTTTTAATTCTATCATCATCATCATCATCATCATCCTTCTATACTGTATATAGACAGCACGGCACAGCACAGGTTTTTTGGTTTTTTGTTTTGTTGTTTCCAAATCATCTCATCGCAATTCCTGCAACCCCTAAATCTTGTCGACTCTTTCTCTTGTCCCCCTTTCGTCTTGGTTTAGTTGTCGTCGTCGTCCTTGTCATCCTCATCATCAACATCACAGTTGTTCAGCAATAAGAGGCAAATTCCGAAAAGGGGGGATCCTTGTTCAACAGTCATCAGTCAGTCAGTCAGTCAGTCAGTTGGTCGGAATAAACTCCAGTAGAGATCAAATGAAGCAAGCTAATATATGCGATGCTTGTGTGTTTGTCACGAGAAAGAAAGAAAGAAAGAAAGAAAGAAAGAAAGATGGAAAATCAGAGTGAGTGAGTAAGTGAGTGAGTGAGTGAGTAAAGGAAATCAGGGTGGCCAGCAACTATATATACACTCCATCATTGACTCGCGTCACTCGTGTCGACTGCTGGTCTGCTGGCACACGATGTCGATCGGCTCACTCAGCTCACTCGACGAGTTGAGCACGACGGTGCCCGACGTGGGCTCCAAGTCCAGGGCAGCGATGAACTGTCGACAGGCCTCCTTGAAGTCCTTCTGCACAAATGAGGTCACAGGACAATAGGACATTATGTATTACCATATTTTCATCCCATTACTTTTTTTTTTTTAACTTATTGCTTTCCATCATCGCAGTGATTCAAGCGGACAGCGTGGGTATTCATTCCTTCATTATAATGACAACAGCAACAAGAAAAAACAGGACATTCTTGTTTGTCATGCTGCGCTGGAATGATGGATCTCATCATCCCTGTCGTCAGCAGATGAGAGTGTTGAAAAGTCACTCGTCTTCACTTGAAAAAACTGAACCGCGGTGACACACACGTGAAGAAAGTGATGCAAATGAATGGTATTGAAAGACAGAAAATAAAGGAAAGGAAAAAGAAAAGAAGAAAAAAAAAATACCGGGCAGAGCGATCTTTTCCGTTAAGAAAGAAAGAAAGAAAGAAACAAACAAACAAACAGACTGACCTGAGTCAATGAAGCCATGCCCTTGGTGAGGTGGAGTCCGGCGGCGTCCCTCATCGTCGTCAGCACGGATGACTCGGCCGTCGACACGGACACCGACACCGACACCCGGATCACGACTGACGCGTTATTCTTTTTCCCGTCCACTAGCAAATATCAATCAATCAGCTGTCTACATCGTCATAAACGTCATCGTGATGAATGATTGATTGCTGATGTTCATGAAACGACGATGACACCCACGACGAGCAATGTGTCTCGCCAGCCAGCAGTATTCCAACATGTCCAGCGCATCTCGTTACAGTATTCACATATATATATATATATATATTTAATATTTAATATTTTTATTTTTTGCATCTTCACCATCATCACGGGGGTCATCGAGGTACGTGAATTAATGGAGGGAAATGATGACACCAGCACCGCTCTTTTTTTTTTGTTTTTCCAGGACTGGATATACAGTATATAGACAATTGCGGTGTACGTTGTGCACACAAGCAATAAGAGTGCATTAGTATAGTGATGCAAAACACCGTAAAATGGCCTTGCGATGGATGCATCTCGATCGACTATGATCGACTGGATCGTGTATGATTGATTTGAACACGTGTCTTCGGAAAGGACTCTCTGCAGGAAGCTGTCATTTCCCTCATTTCAGCTCCCTCGAATTTATTCGTCATCTCCCTTTATATACAGTACGTACACGGGCCCGATTGCCAACTTGTTCCTCTCATGCTGATCGCCTTTCTTTTCTCTCTTGAAAATGACCAGCTCATCGATCTCCAATGAAGGCGAGAAACTGTGCATTTTAAATGTGGCCACTCACTCGCTTTGATATCCTCAAAGACGATCGAAAAAAGCAGCCGCATAAATGATAACCCCATATCACTATACATGCAGTACAGTATTGTATCGCATGTACCAAGCACGGACCAATGTGGTACGGTGACGTGAGAACAGTACTTGGTCATGTACTGTACCTTCATCATGTCGTCAGTAAATGCAATCAAAAGTAGCAAGTGGAATAATGATGATGATGATGATGATGATGCTCACCCAGTAGTTGTTCCCTGCTGCTGCTAGTCAAGTCTTCGTTGGTCTCCTCGAGCAGTTGTCGACGCCGCCTAGGCCGAAGCTTCCGACGCCCTGGCACTTTGACGTCGACGTCGACGTTGACGTTGACGTTGCTGCTCGGCTGCAGGTTCAAGGACGACCAAGTCCTGCTGTTGTTGTTTTTCTCATTTCCTGGTCCTGGCATCGTCGTCGTCGTCGTCGTCGTCGTCGTCGTCGTCGTGGACCCCATCACAGAAGGAGATGTCTTGTTATCGTTATCGTTATTATTATTAATATTAATTTGGTTGTTGGTGATGTCTTCCAGGAGGATCTCGGCCTCGGGATAATTCCGGTCCAACCGCAACACGCGGCGCAGGAGAGACACGGCCATCTCCAGCTCACCCGAGTCTCTGCATGATGCATATCGTCATCACCACCAAAACGACGAGGATGCAAAAGAATAAAGCAACAAACAATAATGATTAAGCAACAGCAGCAGCAACACACCAACAAGATCAGCAGCAGCAGCAGATGATGATGATGATGATGATGATATACTCACACTTTGAGTGTGGCCAGGTTGAAGAGCGCGTTCACGTGGCCCGGATGATGTCGCAGTGCCTCGAGGAACTCGTCCTGCGCGTCGTCCGAGTTGTTGAGCAGCGTGCCCAGGTTGTTGTGGGCACTGGCATAAGTGGGGCACAATCTATAATTTGTGAGACATATTGATGACGACGATAACAATAATAATAATCATGGACAAAGCCGGAAAGGAAAAAAAAAAAAAAAAAGTCAATATATGACACTACTCAACATCACGTCCTCCTCATCCCCCTGATGCTGATCTTTCATCAATGAATGTGTATACCGTACCTGATGGCCTCACGATAGTGCAGCTCGGCCTCTCGCGGACGCCCCGAGTCCAGCTGCAAGTTGGCAAAGTTGTAGTGCATCTTGGCGTTGTGAGGGACGGCAGTGAGTCCAGACCTGTTATACGCAACACAAAGGAAGAAAAGAAGGATAAAGCTCAGTCTTTTTGTCGTGAGGACTTGTGGTGTATATGCCTATATACAGTACAGTATATATACTGTGCCAGCAGGCATTGAAGTAATCATGACGGCCCGCCGCAGCAGCAGCACATTCGCATAAATCAATACCGATTCCCACATCGTCGTCGTCGTGTCTCGCCAATTATTCAAAGCGAATGATTTTCTCGGATAACGATACACAGCAGACACCAAAGCCCCATCACTCGTGTCCACGTACATAATGCATCAGCACGCGGTATTTAGTGCAGCAGTGGTAGTCACGTCATCATTATCCTGCAGTATACGTGTGATACTCTGCAGCATACAGCTGCTGCACTGGAATGAACGCACACGTCTAACGCGTATACGATACAGTGCTGTACAGTACTGTACTGTTCTCTACTGTTGAATGAGGGAGTATGGACGGGTTGCATGGAATCTATCCTTATCATTGTTACATAATACATTGCGTCGTTCGATTTTTCTCGATTGGCACAGAATTCGTCGTGCTACAGCAGTTATACGTGCCGTCTATATATGTATATAGATATACATGTACTTTACTTTACTTTGAAGGGCCCCTGATGCGCACCAGTACCAAGCAAGTATAATGCACTGTATACTACTGAATAACTGGTATTATTGAAAGACGCGACAAATGAAAGACTTTGATCAAGGTACAGTGCATCATCATCATCATCATTTGTTCTTTTTCCATCAGCAGATATGATGATGAATGATGATAATACTGTAATACAATTATGAACTCCGTTGTTGAATATAGTGCACATCGTCGCCATCAGCATCGTCAGGTAATGAAAGAAATGTGGAAAGGAGAAAATAAGATGGACCATGCTTCCGATGTACGTATATACAATAGAATCCTCGTCTGTACATCTACTGTACTGTAGTGTACAGTATAGTGTGCATGGACTGAAATGCTGGTCATCGAGTCACTCTGCATCATCCGTGCTGCTTGTACAGCATGATGATTTTTTTTTATTTAAAAAGAATAATACATCACTGCATAATACAGAGACATCGATATCTTAGGATGTAGAGTACAGTACATGTATATTATGTCGCGACGGGGTTTTTGTCGTCGTCGATGACATGACATCGACATCCCCCCTGCTGCTACCGAGTGCATATATATGTGTGCCCTCGTCGAGTCCCGCATAACACGCAGTCACGGAAACGACGACGACCGCGACCAGATACGATTCCCGGCGCGTGCTGCATGCTGCACGGAAAATGGTGTAATGCGAGTATTTAGGCTGCACATGAGGAGGACGAGCGAGGGACAGATATACCCACTATGCACTATTGACATATATAGGGATGATGGGCACACGCACTGTACACACTATACCGTACAGCAGTCTACGTATATACTGTATATATGTAACATCACAGCACAGCACAGCACAGCACACCACTATCCACTACATATGCTGTACTGTATGTACAGCATACTCGTGTATAGTCGATCGCGTGCATGCTAGCATTGCATGCTAGCATGTGCATGACCCCCATCATGTATAATATACCCCATATATACGTACGTATGCATGGGATGTATTATCCAAGTGCAGCAGCACCACCACCACCACCACCACCATCATGCTTGAAACACTTTTGGCAAATCATCGTACATACACGCATATAGTATGTGCTCTTTCTCCCTCTATATCTTTATCTTGTATCTTGATTACCATATACATATTACGTTCATCGTGCGTCGGCGCGCTCATTACCTACAAAATCCTCCGCGGTATATAGAGTCATGTTTAATAAATACTGCACTGCATTTTCTTTAAAAAAAAAGAAGAAAATGTGAAGGGAAAGTCAATCCTCTACTTTTTATGTGACGTAGCCTGTATCTGTGCAGCAGTATAGTAACAGTACTGAACTTTACTAGCATTTTCTATTTTTATGCGACAAGTAACTCTACTACGCACTGCTGGAGATGAGGACGAATTCCCGACTACTGCTCACTCCTTTACAATATATGTATATATATATATATATATATAAATGAACACACGTATATACAGTAGTATACTCGTTCATTATTATACTGACTGCCGACCAGCAGGACTCGACATGACATTGAGTTTTTTTGTTGAAAATAGCAATATATCGAGTGTAAGACGGCAAATACCGTTAATTATGCTGCATCACCTATCGTCTTTTCTTTTTTTCTTTTTCTTACTACTTTATTTTTTCTCAACAGAGATTAAAATCTACTCCTGAATGTGACTCCGATCGTGAATAAGAGGTGAGCATCATGGAATGCGATAATAATAATAATAATAATAATAACCAACAATGACAAGAATATTTGAAAATGATGAAATACATTAAAACGAAGAAAAGGGTTGCCGAAATAAGCTTATCCTGTTCCTCCCAAGAAAAATAAAGAAGGACATTTTCAACCTTTCTTGACCCGAGCAGACCCGATCCGGCTGTATGGGCACGTGTGTGTTTGTGCTGTGCCATCACACACACACACACACACATGCAGGGGAATGGGGTTACCCTGATAGGTTATCAGGGTTCGGCGTGGGGATCTGTCTGTCGGCCGACGACAGCAGCGGTGATGGATAAATGCCCGCCCGCAGGCCGGTCTTTTTCGACTGATTTAGATGACGGTGTATCGTCAGTATACAGGGTGGGCCAGAAAGCAAAAAGTCAACGGATTTTTGACTTGAAATATCTGGGTATAGCAAATTGCGCTGTGGCAATGAAAAAAAAAGCCCCAAATGAGAGCTTGTTCATATTCTCTTTCAAGTGGTACGCAGTTTTATGATCCCAATAAGTGCCACACAATGTCCACAAGAAGCTCCTGAATGTGGGGGGGGGGGGGGAAGAGGGAAATTGGCAAGATATATGACGCTGCGGGGCTCTCATCCTGCACGCGTGCGGCTGGCCTTGCTGCTCATCCCAGGGACCCACTCACTCCATGCGCATTTTTCTTTGTGATTGACTGGATTGCTCAAAATCACTTTCATTCAATATCATTAAAGTATTCAAAATCAGTTTTATTCAAAATCATTTTTACTTAAAAGCAGTTTCAGCAATCCAGTAAACCATAAACAAAAAAGCGCATGATGGGGTGGGTCATTGCAGGGAGCTGCGAGGCCAGCGGCTCCTTCCCCCCCCCCCCCACCTCCTTATGATTTTTGGGAACATGTGCAGGCTCTCCAAAACAGCACAAAGTTTTCTGGTTAAATTATTATTGCACCCTGCGTTTCCTTTATTCATGCGAACAGCTCTCCAGAACATATTGGCTTCTATATAAGTAGGAAAGGTTGCCTGACAACATTCACGTAGTTCTTGTGACCATAAAACTACTGTACATATACCACTTGAAAGAGAATTGAACAAGCTTTGATTTGGGCTTTTTTTTTTTACATTAACACAGCTCAATTTGCTACCAAAATATTTCAAGGCAAAAATCGGTTCACTTTTTTTTCCGGCCCACCCTGTGTATAGCTGCCGTACCGTCTTACGGTATTACAGTGTTATACGAGTGCTGTGCTACTGCACACCTATACTGTATATACGTGCAGTATGCCGCGATGAGTATATAAGGTATAGCTTGTCCTACATGAATCACTATGAAGCAGCAGAATAAGTTGGAAAGCAGCACTCTTATTTTATTCTGATCATCGTGGTACAGTATTATACACAACAGCAGCAGCAGGGATTATTCTGCAATGTCGTGTATCGAGTCGATCGAGTATATATATATATATATACAGTATATGCATAATTTATACTGGTGAAACAGGGCTTCACTACTAACTACTGCTGTACTGTACTGCACTGCACAAGTCTACTCTGCCGTTGCCTCTCACATTCTATATAGCCGAGGAAGTTGGTGATCCGCATGAAAAGTAACACTTTCCTCTCGAGGCTTTCAATACCTCCGGCGTCGAGGTGTGAGTGTGTGTGAATGGACCAGAGCAACTTCTTTTTTAAATGCCAGTCGGAACTCGCAAGTGCTGCTGCTGCTGCTGGTTCCCCTCATCATGCACTATGCCATACCACTAACACCACTATATACCGTGCATGCATGTAAGACGTGCTGCTGCTGATGAGGGGAGAAAAAGAAAAAGAGGAGAGCAGAGTGCCGGCCCATCATGCATGCATGCATGCTGTATATATACGTATGCTGTATATAATGCCTCAAGTCCGAGAGGTGTTTCTCCTCTTTTCCTTACATAGCTTCTTACTTTCATTCAAACCTGCCCCGTTCGTCTCGCATGCATGCTTTCCCCAACTTATTGCTTCTCCGACTCGTCGTGGCTTGCATTTCTCTTTGCTCTCTTATTATTCTTGATTCTTGATGCAAGAAGTGCAGTGCAGTACAGTGCAATAAAAGTATCTGCAACTTTTATATACAGTAAAGTGCAGTATATATACAATAGAAATGCGAGAAAATAATAAATTAAGAAGAGAAAAAAGAAACGAAAAAACCAAACACCCGCTCATCATAGCAGTACAGTAACTGTAGTGTAGTACTGTATAAATATGGTATATATTTATACTGTACTGTATACAGTATTGATATCAGCAGCATTCATATATGCAAACTATTGCGGGCTAGATGCTGACAATAATGAAGTCCGACGTATGCTGATTCATCACCGCGAATCCCTGACTTGACGCTGCTGCTGGTATATATATGTAAGTGTGCAATTGCCGTCCATCCGTTTCCATTAATTTTATCCAACCCGCGCTGTATTGATGGGTTTGGTAGACTTTTCAAGCTATAGTACTGTATAACACGTGTCGATTTTAAACATACAATGATAATAATAATGATAAAGTACTGTACAGTGCTCGAGAATACTGTAGTACGTACGTCTTTGATGTAGGCCATTATATCGTGTGTTATATGCAGATGAAATGAATGAATAAGAAAGAGTATAGAAGAATGAAAGGACAGGACGATTACCTGAAGAGAGTTTCTCGAGTCCTCCAGTCCTCGTTCCTCACCACGGTCCTGGCAGCCAGAACAGCCGTGAGCAGGACTGCTGCTCCTGTCCAGCAGGCAGCAGCCAGTCTGTTGGTGGTGGTGGTGGGGCTACTGCTGCTGGTCCAGAGCTGATGGTGCTGTTGCTTGCTGTTGTTGTTGTTGTTGTTGTTGTTGTTGTTGTTGGACAAGCCAGGGCTAGGGACGAGTCTGGGCATGGTGAGCTCGTCCATGACTAGCTCCCAACCGAGCCCGACCAGCAAGCAAAAGCCGACACTATAGAATACGCAGGATGGGAACGAAAAGCATACATATACATTGGTGAGTTTTCTTTGGAACAATGAGCCGTATTACAGTATCATCATCATCATCATCATCATCATCATCATCGCATTCAGCCACGAGGAGAAAATTGAACCATAGGAGTAGGTCATTGTGGAGTCATCAGCATGAACCAACAAGCTAGCATGCATGCAAACATGGGATGCTGCTCATCGTTGATTCGTCGTTGTGCACAGGAGTTGATCCAAAACCAGTGTACAAGTACTGTACATTAGCAACAGAAACGTACAGGAGATGCAATGCACGATCACGTTCCATTATTTAAAATACAGTACAGAATAGTATTGGTAGTGTCGCCACCATGCAGCAGCAGAGGAGAGATGAGAGAGAGAAAAGAAACCAACAAGGGGCCTATCATCGAAGAATAAGGCGGCGACTCTGATGCATCTGCGAATAATACGGCACGTACTCGGGAAACGCAGTACAGTGTATTTCGGGGGGTTGCTGGAGTTAGACGTGGAACCCTGCATGCTGATGGCCGTGCAATGAAACATTTTCCGCGGTGGGATAATAACACGAAGATGGTTGGGGAATGAGTGCTTGACGTCACTCGACATCACTGAATACTCTAATTTACAGTCAGCTTCAACTGCTGGTCCGTCATTATGAGATGTCCTGCTCGTCTCGTCGCTGCTTCATTCTCTTCTTATTCTGCTGTCAGCTTCCCTCCCGCCCGTACATGCACGTATATATACAGCAGTATATAGATAGGTATCAACAGTACTTGACAGTACTGCTGTATACTACAGTGCTGCATTGCTGACTCGCGTTTCAATTCCTGCCCGCACGTGCATATGTAACATTGCCTATAGCTGATCCAGCAGAATAAATGAAATCACTCGACATCAGTCAAAGTTTGCCTCATCCATCATGAGCGAGTGAGTTCATATAATACAGTATGCCCATCACAGCAGGAAGTACAGGCGCAAGCAACCTCAGAGGAGCAGCAGCAGCTGCTTGATGCAGGTGATGGTCGTGCTGGTGTACTGTGATGTGTCAGTTACAGTATGGTGATATTCATTCGAGGTATACCGTATATCCAGAGTACAGCACTGCTCATGCAGCCGTGTGTGTGTGTGTGTGTGTGTGTATCCTTCCCATCTCATCGGCGATTGGAGGATAATAATGATTTATCAGCTATTTAAGAAGTACTGAGCATTAATATCAATTAGCGATGGCGGTTCATCGAGATCCTTTTACACATATACTTTTCCGCTCTCTCTCTCTCTCTCTCTCTCTTTTAAATCTATGTGGCGAGTTTGTTTGTTTGGTTCGTCTAAAAAAATTCTAAATAATATGCTGGCTCTTTTAATGTTTTCATACAGCACGTACAGCAGAGCGTGATGGGCATCAGAATAAGCAGCAGCATGTTTTGTATACAGTCCATACAGTATACTGGACTTGGATATTCAAGTGGAGGCCAGGGAAATACACACAGGGATCATTGATCCCCACCCATCGCCCTCTCTCTTTCTCTCTACCTCGAGGGAGTCCTTGTCTACGTCTGCTCATGCTGAGGCTGGGCTTCAAGAGCCATCAAGCCTGTCACCCGGGGAGATGAATCACCCAACTCGTGTGTGTGTGTGTCCAGGGATATATAGATAGATAGATGGATAGATAGATAGATACTCACACGAGAATCCAGCCGAGAGGAGAAAGAGCGGACAAGGGCAAGTCACTGCCCAGCACACACACACACACACACACACAGACACACGGGCAACTTTCATAACCCGCAATATAAACACCCGTTCCTTTTCGGGGAATACCACACGTACGAACCGATGCACAATATGAATGGGTGTTGTCTATGTACATATATAAATGTAATTTATACTCGACTATCGAGAATACTATGCACAATACTTTCACCGCTGACGAATAAGGTCGATGAGAAGAGACTATTTATTGCTGCATACGGTATATACCTGCATGCAGCTGATGCTGGACGCAGGTATTTGAGATATATAGCTAGTCGGAGATATATATATATATATAGAAGAGAGAGAGAGGGAGCTGTGAGAGAGATAGAAGAGAGAGAAAAGATAAATCTTGAAATCCGCGACCGAGTGTGTGACGAACATTCATGCACGATCGACGTCGTGTACTATATAGCAGTACAGTATACAGTATCATAAATTAGCACGTCTCCATGTCTTTCACCCACCTGGGAATGTAGAGGATCCTCTCGGCCACGACGAAGCCGACGGGGAAAAAGATGTTGGCAGCAGGGACGAGAGGGATCACCACAAACATCAACGCTGTCCAAAGCTGGTGTTGGTGCTGGGGCCCGAGTCCGACGTCTTTCACAAGCCCCGCCGGACGAACCATCGTCAGCAGAGGCCTCATGGTCATCTGCATCATCTGTTCATTTGTTGTTGTTGTTGTTGTTGTTGTATAGACGACGGAAAACAAAATTGAATAGAAAGACGAGTTATTTGGGAGTGAGAATCAGACCTACTCGTATATGATTGACCCCGCTGATTAAGAGGATAATAAGAGAAAGCAAGAAATGAAAATCCATCCCGCGTGACGGTGGTGCTACATATCGAAAAAGGATGGATGAAGGACACGCTTGCTTATACAGTACGTTCTGTACAGTATATATCGTACAATGCACATACAGCTAGTACAGTATACGCAAGCGACCGGTCGATCATCGGAATTGTTTCAATTTGTTCAATTTGTCTTACTCTCGGACCATCAGTTTGAAAGGATTCACGACTATAACCGTTGTCTCCATATTTATTTTTGTATTGCATTTTAGCAGTTGTTTTTTTTTGGTGAAGTTTTTAAAAAACACATGACAAAAGTCGAAAAGATTTCGTGGAAACCCCATATTTTTCAATGCCCTCGTTCATACATGCTGCACGCCAACGTTCATTCATTCTCATCAACAGTAGTACAGTACGTAGAGTACAGTACAGTACAGTACTGTAATGCATTTGGAAAAGCAGGAGAGACGGAGAAAGAAAGATGAATTCTCACTCGGGTCATACTGTATTTCCTTCCTCAGAACAATCGTGTTTTTGGCTGTTGTGCTGCGAGAAAGAGGCCCCATGCAAATCTGTTGATACAGTATAAGGCTCATTGTGGGACGATTGTATACGAGTATGATGTTCGAGTAGTGGGAGGGGTTTGCATTTTTTGCTGACATGGATATTGCATGATGGGCGGCTTTTTGTTGTTGTTGTTGTTGTTGCTGCTGTTCTGTTCCCGTGCCGTATTATACAGCTACAATTAAAAAAAACCCGTAATCTCGTCGAAAGAATGAAATGAAAAAGAGCGACTGCTGATCGATTTTAAATGTCAAAAATGAATTGGCGCAGAAAAGGGTTTGTTTGTATTGTTTTCTTTCAGAAAGGGTCCACACTTGAACAGATTCCGTATATCATCTGAGTTGCTTGTAAACTGTCAACTGCCACGTGTTATCGTTCTCCAACTTATTCGACCTAAACCTCATCTTCACCAAGGCAAAAGTATGTGAGTCTCTTAAATGTAGTACAGTAGAAAAATCGTGCTTGACCGCAGTTGAAATGAAGCACATATGCATAGAGCAGGATATAATACTGTATTGAATACAATGCACCCCAAGTGCCGGTATTTGAATTTAGAGTGAAATAGGGCGGGTTTGCCGAAACCCTTATTCAGAACGCGCGTTTTTTTTTTCTTTTTCTTTTTGCACGAAGCCTTTATTTATTGTGTAAGATCGTACTGTACTTTGTACAAAGGGAATCGTCGAAGTAAAAACGAAGTTATAGGAAGCGCATCTGCATGCAAATACTGTATAGAGGAATTTAAGTCATTATGATCGTCCGTGGATGCGCGCACGATCGATGAAGATACAGTATTGTATTGTTGAGACCCGGTTGCGTACAGGAAAAATTAGCGCATCAGCTGAACCAAACACACATGTGCAATTTCTTGTAAAAAAAAAGAAAAAGAAAAAGAAAAAAAGGGAGGGAAAGAGAGATAGATAGAGGGGGGGAGAGAGAGAGAAATTTGGCCGCGGGTAGTGTTGGGTGTGGCGCGCCGGGCCTGAATAGGAACCAAGTCACGTGCACCACAACCACAATAAGTTGGTCGGAAAGAGAGGAGTTCTGGGTATAGGAGTCCTAAGTATATAGGACAATTGCTTGCTTCACCCCTGATTTCAGAGCATCACACTGTTGGTGCGTGTGGGTCCTTTTCTTTTTCCTCCTTTTTTTGGGATTCTTGCAAGAATTCTGACTTCGGCGGCACCATCAGCAACAAGTCTTTTTTTTTTTTGGGGTCTCTCATACATTTTTTCTTCAATACTGTACTGTGTTTCAAAGCCGACTTTCTTCCCTAGCTCTCTTCTCTTTTTGTTTCCGTTTCATGCTGCTGCTGCTGCGTTTTCTTGTTTTCGCATGCCGGACTCTCGTCCCAAGATTCCCTACTTGGCTGGATGCTCCCCCCGTTTTGTCATTACATCAACCTCTTTGATGTGAATAATAATACTTGCCCCATTCCTGGCTTCCTAAATTTAAGAGTATACCCGATGATAATGGCTAATTTGTGCCTTTTGTTGGTTCTCGCGGGGAGTATATATATATATATATGTATATACATATTCGTTAAAATTGGGTCATCTCGCAACAAATGCATTTCAATAATAGTGTTGTGATAAAGGGTATATATATATATATATATATCACGAGAGAAGAGAAAAGGGGAAACACAATCGAAAAGTAAGTAGCGCAAGAATTCTGTACGTACTGTATACAGTTCGTGGAAAGCAGTAATAATAGCTATAGCGCAGCAGCAGATTTACTTGTACAGTACTGTACTGTACTGCTGTATATTTGAAACTCACCCGTCGTTTGTGCGGGACGTGTTGGCGTTGTTTAACACCATCTTCAGCTTCCGCTGCCGGCCTTTGCTGCTGCTGCTGCTGCTGCTGAGGGTGCTTATTGTGCTGATGATGGTTCCGCACGACGATGAGTGAGGTGAAGAAGAGCAGCAAGGTGACCAGCGCAGTGAGGACTGTGGCCACGTTCCTCGTGTCCCACGGCGTCGTGAGGACCGGGATGGAGTCGAACTGCCAGTCGTACGACAGCGTGCGGGGACACAGCAGGAGCCACAGGTTGTACGAGAGGACGTAGGCGAAAGTGAGGAACCTTGTCCATGTCATGCAGAAGCCCCGAAAGCAGCAAAAACAACGACAACAAAATAGACAGAGAGAGGGTTTACATCATCATCGTCATCATCATCATCCCTTCTTTTGTATTCATACTCTTGTTAAAAAGAAAGGAAGAAAAAAAAAACGACATGTGGTGATACTGTATAATGAAGACTCGTCTATATAAAAATGACGATCGAAAGGATGAGAAAAGGAAAGAAAATAATGATAATAAGAGCCGACTTTCCCCTGCTTCTGATAACTTCTTTATATATGCACTCATGTACTGTATACTGCTGTACTCGATCGTTTTATCTCATATTCTTCGTGTTTACAATTCCGATTTTTCCCATTAATTTCCACGAGGCCGCGGAACCCGCTTTTTTGATTCCGATGACGAGGTAATACAGTACAGTACTGTGTAAGAGAAGCGAGGAAGGGAACAAGTTTCAACTCCGGCATTATTCATTATGATTCAATGGCTGGATGGCTGACTTATTCTTGCTTATTGCTTGCTTGCTGAATTCAGCGTTTACTACTGTACTGCGGTACATGGTATACAGTACAGTACTCACAACAACAAGTACGTGCTGTAGTATTGCACTTATTGGCGCAGTACGGTATTTAAAGCCGCGTTCGTTCTTTCTTGCATTCCCTCATACTCACTCCTCATATATCATGCCTCATATATCGTATAATAGTACTCACGCCGGTTCATTTACAGCACTGTACTGTACTATGCCGCGCGTACGTGTGAGTACAGTACGGTATATAAAAGGTACGTACTGTACACAGAATATGCTGGATATAACTCCATGTTCTCGAGCTGGATTTCAAGAAGCGGCACCGTTTCATATACTGTACAGTAACACTGTACTAATTATTATTGGCTGTCATGCCAATGTGGCGGCTGTTGCTGAAAATGGCGGAATTGACTTGAAGGACCTATTAGAGGCAACCCTTGGAATTAATGCCACGTTGATTTCAAGAATTCTGTATAGGGAAAGATGGGCTACGAAAAAAAAAAAAACAATGTAGGAAATCTTTTGAGGGGAGTGCAAAACTCTGCCAGGGTAAATTTTGCGAAATATTCAAAAAATAAATTGTCAAACAGGGCTGATTTTTCGTGTGCTAAAGAATAAATTTTCCCTAAAGAATACTTTTTTTTCTCCAGTCCGATTATGCGCCATTTTAATTTCTATTCCGGGAAGTTTTGTTTGAACCCTCGTATACAGTACGTATCATGTACCAATAATGTACGCATGAATATAAGGAGAAATTACTGCTGAAGATGGCGATGAATGTCTCTCATCGTCCTTCCCTTCTAATCGTTGCTCACCTCGTGGTCGCCTGGGGGTGGAATGCAGCCGGGTTGTCCTGGTCCGAGAAGTGGGGCAAGGAGCCGGCGAGGAGCCAGAACCGGAGGCCCAAGGCCACGATGCACTGCAACATTATTAGTAGGGTATAGACTGCAATATACATATACAGTATGTTACGCAGCAGTAAATGGAACTGTATACTGTTACAGCATTGTACATGCATATGCATCATGCAGGCTAAAAACCGGGGGGGTTATTGCGTCATCATGCATGAGACAATGAAAGGAAGGATCGCCTACAGTATTATACTGTATACTATAGCCATAAGATGTGGGCCGTTCAATAATGTAGCGGTACTGTATACAGTACAGTACTATCCTCTACTTTACTTTAGTGTACGTGTATACAGTATAGGGCAGGGGTGCCCAAGATACGGCCCGAGGGCCAGATCTGTCCCGCGGAGGCTTTTCATCTGGCCCGCAGAGCCAGCATGGTAAATCACCACACAAAAATTAAGACCCTCAAAAAGTAAAAATTGCAAGTTTTTCAGGATGTCTTCAGTCTGCAATTTTGATTAGGAATTTTATTAGGGCTTCACTATAAATTCTGCAATGATTCCCCTAATAAGAAAGAACATTTTGCATTGATTTGTGATGTTCTGTTATTCAGATTAAAGGGCAGGGTTTTGCAATTTTGGAATGCAAATCCTATCCCAGCATTTTCTGT